CCTTACTACAAGCTGAAGTTGATAACTTTTACTATAGACCATGGGCAGGTCTACTCAGCTGCCAGAATCCGAATTCTAAGACTGAAGCCATGGTTCTCATCTTCTTTTCTTTTCTTTTTTTTTTTAAAGATTTATTTATTTATTATATATGAATACACTGTAGCTGTCTTCAGAAGAGGGCATCACATCTCATTACAGATGGTTGTGAGCCACCATGTGGTTGCTGGGATTTGAACTCAGGACCTCTGGAAGTGCAGTCAGTGCTCTTAACCACTGAGCCATCTCTCCAGCCCTCATCTTCTTTTCTATATATCAAGTTTAACCCCCTCCTCCTTGTTTAGGGATAGTAATGGCTAACGAGTATGATGAAATACTTATTGCCACAATTAAGCCATATTTCATGATAATCTTCTTTAAGAACAGGAAGTTATCTTTGGTGGGCTTGATATAAATATGTGAGTCCTTAAGTGGGTCAGAAGTGTGGGGACCTGAGGGAGAGTCTCACTGATGCATTTAAAGATAGCTGGCTAGTAGGAGCAGAAAGAAAATCAAAGCATGGATTCCAGTTGTACAGCTGTAAGGGACTGATTCTACTGACAGGCTGAATCATCCTTTGAAGTGGATTCTTTCCTAAATCCTGCAGATGATAATGCCATCTGACTGGTTCCTAGGAGTCTGACTGTGAGAATCCAGTTGACTATGCCTGTAATTCTATATACAACAGCACTGCAACCACACATTGTCTTATACCTTAAAGTTTGTGTTACTTTGTTATATAGAAATGGAAAATGAATAAAGGATTACAATTCTATCCCAGTTGAATGTGATTTAGGATTTCTTAAAAGAGAATTTCCTGTCCCCTCTCATTCTGCCTTTCTCCGCAGCCTCTATTGGCTTCCTCGCCATGAAGTTATTTCACTGAATGTAACTGGAAAATGCAATTTTGTCAGATTAAAATCTCCTCTCATATCATTTAGAATTATCTCTTTCTTTCCTCCCTCACTGCTGGTTTAAGATGCAGAGATATATGAATCTTGGGCACAGTGTACACATGTTTGGGTTGGAGAATCAAACCAGAAGATATAGATTTCAAGAATTAAAGCACATGCTGAAGTGACTCAAATATGTTTCGTTCATTGCATCTAGCTATCTGGAAACAAGGAGCCATGACAAAACAGCTAAAGAAAAGGGAGAAACTGTGTAGGCATAAATGCCTGAACACTTTCATATCTTTTATCAATAAACATTACTAGAATGTAATGCATTTGAATTCGTGTTTTTCCTGTGGGTACCCAGCAGTCTGACTTCTGCTTACCGATACCACGGCTGGATCTTATTACAGTGTAGGGCACACTGTGGGAAGCATGCTGAAACTTTTTAAAGTACAAAAGATGATTGCCCTTGGTTAATTAGATGTCTGGATTATGCAGATTGGCCACTAAATGACTGTATATGATGCGGTGTGAACACTATTATATGGTTGTTGATAGTAACACCTAGGAAATATAGTTAAACCTGATTTTGCTTATTGTCTATTAGAGAAAGGAATTGGTGTTAGATTAAAAAAACATACCAGACTGGAACTTTGCAGTTGAGAGTTGAAAGAATGCTCTATGGAAAAAGCATGTCGCATGGTCAATTCAGAAAATAATGTTGTCTCCAGTATAACTCAATTCTGCTCCAATACCATGCAGCTAAGTGAAAATATTGGAAGGTAGTGACTCACATGCCAGGCTCACAATTTAAAACTGATATTTTCTGCATTTGTGAAAACCAAGGAACTGGATTAAGAGAGTGGCCATTTAAATATAAATTTGAGCCAATGTAGACAATGAACTTTATAATGAAGAGTTAGTCTGTGGCTATAACTCTCCACTGAATAAAGAACTTTTTAATAAAAAGCTAGTACAACAAAAACTTAAAAATCATAATTTGGAAAAGCTTCAAAATTTGGTTATGCAGGTGAACTACAGTTGAGCTTTTACCAGTTTTTATCAATGTCTTTCCGGCTACTAAAGCCAACACTAAAGAAAAACTATTGCAAAGCTATTATGTCAAGTAATTACACAATACTTCACGTAATATATCTTTATCGGTTTCAACTTCTTGGAGATATATCTTTTCTATGTATGTAATTATGCTGAGGGAAAACACTACATGCTCAAATGAAATAAAGGACTTCAGTGTATGACTACAGGATCTTGTCAGGTAGCCAGCGACTTGCCCTTTCATTGTGAGTGACTAATGTCAATGCTGTTCTAAAGAAAGACACTTGTCATAATCACCCAACAATTCGCTAAGTGAAAGCACGTGCACAGGCTTAGGCAAAGCCTGCCAGGGTCTCTGCTGAATGGGAAGCAGGTGCTCACACTGTGTGCCACACAATACCCCATTTACCCTCAAGTCCAAAGGTTACACGACTAATAGCTGCCTTGCGGTCATCAGGAAAAGCAAGACACTGGCCTGGCAGAACATCTGGGACATATTTTACATACTTGCAACATATGCTTCAGGTTCAATTAAAGTGAGGCTTTGGCACATGTATTAATTTCTTTACTTTTATCCTATAAGAGGACTCACTGACCTGACCTCACTATTATGCCATATGAGGAAACAATGAACTAATGAGAGCTACAGGCCAGTACCTGTTTGCATGGTGAAAAAACACACTTGTCTCATGAAATTCCATTACGCATGACTCGACACACAAGCTTTAAGTGAAGGAACCAATGAAAATTTTAGAATAGGCATTGACTTTTCTTCCATTCAGAGACATTGATAGTTAACTCACAATGTGTACTGCTGTGAGATCCAAGCCGAGGGACAGAAGCTGGCGAACGATGCTTGCAGGATCTGTCCTACTTTTCTCATAACAAAGGCTTCACATTTCAAGATGCCTTGTCTAAGAGAACTTAGATGTCTACTTCACACAACTACAAGTGAGATTTTAGGTTCTTTTCAGTTTAAGACACGATGGTCACACTTTCAATTTCTCACGGTTAAAAAAAAAAAAGCGGGGAGAAAGACCTCATCCTCACACACCATTCAAATAAAGGGTGGGGCTATGAACAACAGCCAGCTCATAATGAAAACATACTACTTGTCCATATCAGTTACAGACAAATTCAGTTGAATTCACACAGTAACTGAAGCCCTCACTTTCAGTCTACTTTGGTAACTAGATCTGAAACTATGTGAGAACTAGGGTGTCAATTGCAGACAGTCAACCTCTAGTTCACTGTACATACAGAGCCTGAGAGTTGGTACTTCCATCCAGATGTGGTCAATCGTCTGTGTTTTGGTAAGCTGGTTAACTAGGGATGTCTATTGTTGACTACACCTAAGATCTCCTCTATTAAAAAATGAACAAGAAAAGGGAGAGACATACAACATTAACAAACTGTCTAAAAATACATGGGGTTGGCTTTCAGCAGGGAGATACAAAAGGAGTAGACTTCACTGGGGTTTGTATTTATTAGTATTTCTAGGGAAATGCCTGCTGCTAGGATGGATCTTTATGGTGGCTTTAATAATAAAGCAGCAACAAGGAAGGGAGAATGGCCATAAATGGATGGCAGCTCAGTCTTTATCAGCAGAGAAGTGATGATTCAGAGCTGGCATGTTGAGTTAGAGTACAGGCTCTCCACAGCTATACAACTGACCTTAACAATAAATCAGGCCAGTTATTGCCAGGGGTGTTTGTTCATGTTATTTAACTTTAAAACAAAGCGTGTTTGTGGTGTGTCTGTGTGTGTCTGTGTGTGTGTGTGTGTTTACAGACAAGAGATTTTGCTAGCTTCATTTTGATCATGATGTTGATGACTGAATGTTGTACAGGAGAAAAATTTCACATAAAGGCTCTATCAATGTGAAAGCATTTACAGCAGCATGAACATGAAGCCGGGTGTAAGTATGTGCGTTTCCTTCTCCTGCAAGCATCAAATATTAGTCAGGAAACAACAATCATTCATGAGGTGAAGTATTCAGTATGACTTTTCACTTTTGACACTTGCAATGCTTGCTTCTAACACAAATTCCTATCCCAGAATAAAAACTATACATCTTTTATGGAATCAAAGGTCAAGGGCATAAACTAAGATGCACCGTTTTCTTCCTTCAAAAACATAATTTCTTTATGTGGTCAGTTTGGGGCAGAGATCAAAATCTGGTTTTGTATACCAAATAATGTTTAAGTAATTCATTTTTCTTCCCTGACTCCTGGTCTCATCTTAAGATATATTAAGTTTTAGATCTACAAATACCCAGAGATCACAGGGTCAGAGAGTTCCTATCCAGCTTGCTGGAGAGAGCTGTTCTCCTAAACTTAGCCACTGTTGTGGTGGTACAAGGTTATGCTAATTCCTCCCTTTCCCCAAGCAACCACCAACCTAAACAACCTAGAAATAAGCTGCTGTTTACTGTGCTCCCCATCCCTAAGCCAAATAGCAAATAAAATTCAAGTCTCTCCAAAGGACTCTCATGATGAGGAGGCATGGACCATTACAGATCTAGGCAGGACAGTGAGCCCAGGGCTGTTTAAATGTCCACCCAAGCATAACACACATGTTCTTTTGATAAGCAATTCTTAAAAAACTATAGATGACAACAACCATGTCCAACTCATGCAGGCTACTACTTTTTCACACTTGCCTCCTTCCCCCAAAGCATAGACTGATTTGTAACATTCAAGATAGGACACATTTTTGCCCTTCAAAAACAGTTGTCACTGCCGTGATCTTCACAATAGCTATCAAGTTCCAGACAAGTTGATTTTTTTTTCTTAGCAGAAAAATATCTGACCCAGCTCTGGACAAAAGCAGAGAGGATTTATAGCCATTTCTTCATCTTTGCTGCATGCAGTGGCATTGTTAGGATGATAAACAGCACTGTCCAATTTTCTGGACTCAAAACACTTCAACTCCTTTTTTAACTGTCTGTGAAAACAGTGTCATGTCTGCAACTCCCACCCTCAGGTACCCAGCACTGGGAAAGATAATTACCTTGTCATCTCTGTCATCTTCTTCCTCTTCGTCCTCCAGCATGTCCTCCACTACCTGCAAATAGAAACACACGTTATTTTTCTGCTCTTAGACGAGAGGATTTTGTTCTGTCATTTTGAACCCTTTGAAACACATGCTCTGAGGGAGAAGCTTCATCTAGAGAGGAAGAGTATGCAAGTGCTCAGCCTGTAACAGATTAAAGCCATGGAAGAGGAACTGGGTGAGGAGATACCTACTCTCGTGGAAGGTTTGGTGCCAACGGATCTGAAGTGTGCAGAAGGTGAACTCGTATGCATCTGCAGGTTGCTCTAAGTTATAAAATTTCCTTTCTAGCTCTTCTGCTGCTTGTTTCAATCAGGCATTTTAACACGAAGCAGGTTAACTAAGAATGAAACAGCACTTCTATTTCTAACTTACTTTTTTGCCCAACTATAAGATACAAATTTATTTCTATTAATTGATTCACACTGGTGGTCTGTGGCCTAAAACTAACAATGAATGTCTTTAATGGTCCCAATTTTAATTCTGATGTATAAGATCAACTTGAGTGATTGGCTCTGAGTCCTACTTTTCGATTTTGTGGGTTATCTGAAATAGCCTTTTTAATTCTTTGTGATTTTTATACAAGGTTCATGAATATATATTACAATTATAAATATATTATATAATTAAATATGAATAATAAATATAGCTTACATTGGTAAATATACATACTTTTCAATTTTATTTTTATTTTATTTAATTGCCTGGTGTTTAGCCTATATTTGCCACTTGCATATCTGATGCCCTTGGAGGCCAGAAGAGAGTTTCAGATTCCCTGGAATTGGAGTTACAGATGATTATAAACTGCCATGTGGCTGCTGGGGACCAAATCTGGGTCCTTGGAAGAGCAGCCAGTGCTCTTGACCTCTAAGCCATTTCTCTAACCCCAGTATGCACACTTTTGAATGGGAAAGTTATTTTGGATTTGACAAACACTTTTTATTTTCTTTGCTCAATATATAATTACAGACTTCATAAGGCAGATGGTCTTCAGAGGGTTTGAAAACTTTAAGGTTACACAATAATTTCTAGTTCTGCCTGGGTTACAGAGAGAGCCTCTGCCTTAACAAACTTAGCAAACTCGAATTTCACATTTCAAATAAATATTTTACTCACAATAACATGCACATGTGTGTGTGCCCTCTGTAGAAACTAAAAATATAAAACCATGAGGTATTTTTCAGGTAGGCCTCAGAGAACTATAATTATGTAGAATGTACATTCTTCATCAATTCTAATTCTTATGATGCTTTTAAAAATAGAGTCTGAATATCTCAAAATAGAACTAGTTGAAAAACAGTTATCAAGTACTTTGAAGCTTCTCTCATCAAGCTTTTGATGATGGCAGCACCAAGTCCTTCTTTTGTGTGACTCTTTCATACAAACAGAAATAGATTCTGAGTGAAAATGCCAATAATCCAGACTATGTTGGAGAACTGTGTGAATGAGACACTGTGTTATTCCCAGGTACATTTATCAAGTCTTCTAAAAGCCTTCTGGGACTTTAATGAATAATCCAAACACCAATTTCCTGTTCTCATGGACCAGTATATAATTAAAGACATCTGAAATCACAAAATTGTTCCTCATTTATTGTCACACTTCATATCTCTTGTTAAAAAGTAGGACTTGAGGCTTTCTTCTCAAACACTGTGTACCTTAGGAGGGTCCCAGAAGTATGATGTGCTGCTTGTCATATCTGTTGAAAATGTCTGTCTTTGGGCAATATGCAACCAATCCAGCCTTCAAAAGGAATCTGTGCTTGTGATATTCTTTAACTATATTCAAACAACTCCTAAGTATTTGTCATAAACGTCTGGCCCAAGGTGTATAGTATAGGTAATGTGTGAATTAAAAGATGAGGAAGCACACAAAGATTCCATCAATATTCACATGAACCCTGTAGGACTAAAGGAGGGGCTATCAGATAAGTCTTCATGAGGCCTTTAAGTTTTCATCAGTTTAAAGCATTCACATTATACATATGGACACAACAGTGACAATTGTGGTGACGTATGATAGGATGTTCAAACTGATTATTTGTGATACAGGTTAGGTTTCATCAAAAGAAGTCACTGATCCTCATGAGAATTTTGTAAAAGATGACTTTATACCACAAATAAAGAAACAAAGTTATCTTATACAAATTTAGGTTTAAATAAAGGACTTTTTCCTTTCTTTCTGTTTTGCTAAAGTTGGCCTTGAAGAGTCATATAAAATATAAAATGAAAATAAACTCAAACAATGTTTGAGCTAGTAATGAATAAAATGTATTGTAGGGTTGGGATTGGTTGCTTAGTGTGTATAATCCGGTATTCAGTAGTCAGCAACAGATACAAACTGTGTCCTGTGTCTCATCTCTACGACACTCGCCATCCTGCCTCACTCCCGGAAGGCAAATGTGACAGATTATGTTTTACATATTGCAAGCTACATAGCAGTTGCTCAAGAAATATTTCTGGTCAGATAAATAGATAAATTCATCATCTGGCTGTCATATCCATTGGCTTGTTTTTGTTTTTTCTAGTGTCTGTCACCTCTCCTGCTTCAGCCTCTCAAGTACTGGAATTACAGTGTAGCATCCACCCTTTATTTCACACAGCTGACCCAGCTCTCATGAAAGATTTATGTCTAACCAGTGTTGTAAATGAATTAAGGCAAATGATAGAAACGCTTTGAAAGAGTTGCTTAAAGAAGCACCCATCTGCATCTAACTGTAAGGATCCAGGGATCCTCACTGTCAAATTAACTCCTACAATGTCTAAATATGATTAAACTCTAAAACAAACCACTTGACTAATTTATACATTTTACAAATGATATTATATTCAAGTGTGACTTGAGGAGGTCTACAGAATTGGGCCCTTCTTTTGTGAAGCCCAAACTGTTATTACCCTGCCCGAGTGAGTAATTGGCTACATGCAATTACTCTACAAATGTGCAGCCAGATCCCCCCAACACAACCGTTTGCTTCTACATTTGGCAAAAGAGTGTCGTGTTGAGAGAGGCCTTTGTGCTGTATACTATCGAGGGCTTCCTTCCTCTGTTGCCTTTGATTGTCACATCACAGACATGTACACATGAGGATTGATAACACATTTGATGGCTTCCTACTGCTTTCTATATATCACTCCAGAATGAACCCCACCAGTATATGCTCAGGTGAAGCTTAAAATGCTTTGGAAACTAATGTTGAAAAGAACCCCATCCCACAGGGCTGGTTAGGATCCAGTGAGATCACACAATTCCTGTACCAAAATAAGTTCTCAAAAATGTTAGCTAATAATGAAAGCAAAATGTCAATATTTCTTTAACATTAACTTTGAAAATTAAATTATACCCCCTTTTCCCTGTATTCTGATTGATATAAAATTCTGTTTGGTGTTTTCACTGACCCTAAGAAACACATGTCGGGTATACGATGAGTGAAGATGAAGAATCTAAACTGAGGCAACGGTGGACTTCATGACTGATTAATGACTCAGTGAAACGAACAGACAGCTCTGAGTGTACATGCAGCTTATAAGCAGGGCTGTGCGATCAGACACTCCACCTAACATAAGGGGCACAGAAACAGCAAGTGGAGCTAAAAAATCTAAACTGTGTACCACTAAAGTGCATTTAACTATGATGTAAAACTATAGCTTTCCTAGAGACCTCAAACAGCACCTGCTATTTCAGTGGAGTGCTGGAGTATTAATGCTTAACTAAGGAAGAAAAATAGAAAACAAAAATCCTTGCCTCAAATGCCAGCTCTGTGCTCTTCAAAGAAACACAAGTAAGTGCTATATAGTTCATTGTTTAAGTGTTTAAAGTTAAATAGTGCAAAATTTGTTAGCAATAATTTTTTATTGGGTGTTTCATTTACATTTCATATTTTATCCCCTTACCCCATTACCCCCCTCCCCTGCCCAGGAAGCCCCTATCCCATCACCCCTCCTCCTGCTTCTCTGAGGATGTGCCGCTACATACCACCCACTCCCACCTCCCCAACCTCAGATTCCCATCCAATGGGGCGTCCAGCCTTCATGAGACCAAGGATCTCTTCTCCCACCTATGTCTGACAGGGCCATCCTCCCTTACATATACAGCTGGAGCCATGGATCCTTCCCTAAGTGCTCCCAGGCTGGTGGTTTAGACCCTGGGAGCTCTGGTTGGATGGCATTGTTGCTCTCCTCATGGGGCTGCAAACCCTTTCAACTCCTTCAGTCTTCATTTTCACTCCTCCATTGAGAACCCCATGATCAGTTCAATGGTTAGCTGTGAGCATCTGCCTCTGAATATGTCAGACTCTTGCAGAGTTCTAAGGAGACATCTATATCAGGCTCTTGTCAGCTTGCACTTCATGACTTCCACTTCAGCATCTACCTCTGGTGACTGCACATGGGATGGATACCCAGGTGGAATGGTCTTCAGATGGCCCCTCCTTCAGTTTCTGTCCCTCACTTTGTCTCCATATTTGCTCCCTTGAGTATTTTGTTGCTCCTTTTAAGAAGGACCGAAGCACCCCACTTGGTCTTCCTTCTTCATGAGCTTCATGTGGTCTGTGAGTTGAATCTTGGGTATTTCAAGATTCTGGGCTAATATCTAATAATCAGTGAGTGAATACCATGTGTGTTCTTTTGTGATTGGCTTACCTCACTCAGGATGATAATTTCTAGTTCCATCCATTTACATAAAAATTTCTCAAATTCGTTGTTTTTAATAGCTGAGGAATATGCCATTGTGTAAATGTACCACATTTTTTGTATCTATTCCTCAGCTGAAGGACATCTGGGCTCTTTCCAGCTTCTGGCTATTATAAATAAGGCTGCTATGAACATAGTGGTGCATATGTCCTTGTTATATGTTAGAGCATCTTCTGGGTATATGCCCAGGAGTGGTATAGCTGGATCCTCAGGTAAAGCTATGTCCAATTTTCTGAGGATCCACCAGACTGATTTCCAAAGTGGTTGCACCATCTTGCAGTCCCACCAACAATGGAGGAGTGTTCCTCTTTCTCCACACCCTCG